CCCTATTGTGCCTCACAATAGTAATGCTTTGGATGTGTGGAAATCCATGAAATTTTTTAACTATAATTTATGTGAACTTGCCATGAAGTGGCTTTGCATTCCTGCCACTTCAGTTCCAGCAGAAAGATTATTTTCCAAAGCTGGAAATACTATCAACAAAAAGCGGAGTTCTTTAAAGCCAAAGAATGTACACAAACTTCTAGTTTTAAATTCATTATCAATTGAAGAACTGTATGCATTGGAACTGTAATTGAACTATACAAGTTGAAAATAAAATTAAGTTTTGTTTTTTTTTAATTGTTTGAGTTTATCTTGATTGAACATCGATGTTCCAATAGGCATCGATCAAACATCGATGTGAAATCCGACATCGAAATTTAGCATCGATGTTTAGGCAAACATCGATGTTTGACATCGATGTTAAAATTATAGACATCGCACAGCACTGCTCTGGTCTCTCGCAAGCCGGCCGCTGATTAGCTAATCATTTGGATTAGCCAATCAGCGACCGGCTAATCATTTGGATTAGCCAATCAGCGACCGGCTAATCATTTGGATTAGCCAATCAGCGACTGGCTTATGAGAGACCAGAGACAGTGACCAGAATATGGCCCCTGGTGGTGTATGGAGATTTAAAATTGGGGATACAAATCCCTTATTCAGAACTACAATTTTACCCTTTAAATGATATTTGGTATTAAAAAATACATAGAAGAGACCGAAACGTCTGCGTTTTTTGTTGCGTCCGATCAACGGCGGTCTTCCGTGGTGGAGACGACCTTTTATTAGCGGTTACACCTCTGCAAAAGTATGCAAGACGGTTTAAAAAGTTTACCGGTGATGAAAAATAAAGATGTATTTATATACCCTATGTATATCTTGTATGGATAATGTCCTAAAAATAATGTCTACCAAGACTTCATAAATCGGTTCTTTTATAAAAATGTAAAACATTTTTATATTTTAAAATTAATTTGTGATTATTTTTAATATCACAAAGATTGATAACTTTTCGGTCTCCGGGTGACGGAGTTTTCCATTTGTTTTAATGGAAATAAAATCTCATCCAATTTTAAATAATGGTAAATAAATTGCGTATAATAAGTCATAATTTGGAAAGAGTTATTTTATCGCGTTATGAAACGTTTTAAGCAGATTAGTCTCTTGCAATTCGTTGATCATTCACGAGTGAAGAAGACCAAGGGAGGTGAGTGCTCTGTTTATTTTCCTCCAATCAAAATTAAGTTTGCTTCCAGTTTTATACATTAGAATTTAAGACGATGAAGATATTTAAAGTAGTGATTTCTATCAATGATACAAATACAGCTCTGAATGAAGTGGTTTGGCTTATCAGCTGTACTGTAGACCCCCGTATAAGATCATTGATTATTCCGTTTTATATGAATTCCATGTTGTACAAGTCACTTAGATTTTACAAATACGTGTGTCGGTTGTGAACGGCTCACGTATTTGTAAAATCTAAGTGACTTGTACAACATGGAATTCATATAAATCGTAATTATCAACAGTGTTACGGGGGTCGACTGTAATGTTTATAATGAAAGGGGTAAAAAAATATATAAAACTAGTGTTGATAAATTGAAAAAAAAACAGGTGTTGTATATAAAATTAATTGTAATTGTCAAAATCCAAAAGATTATATAAGTGAAACAGGTAGGACTTTAAGAGTTAAGAATTAACCTTCTTTTTGGTATGATAAAATACTTTTTAGTATTTCAAAGGATATAATCTACACGCGTTATATTGTTACATTACTGATTGTTCTAAATATTTTAGTATAGTACTGAAGAGGTGCTCGTAAAATAAGCCCGAAGTGTATATGTAACCTGTATCTTCAATAAAGGATGTTTCTGAACTAAAGGCTGTAAGATAGTCTACCGGAATTCTTGTGGTTTTTCGATTAAAGCAGTGTTTCCCACGCCCCACAGGGGGCAATTGGATTGTTAACGGGGCAATTCGAAAATGGACTCGTCCAGAGTTTAAGTTAACCGTATAGCCGCTGTTTATGTTAGGTGGGTTATAAGAATTTTAGAAAGACTTAGGTGGGGCATAGCATAGAAAAGGTTGGGAAACACTGGATTAAAAATACATATATATATATATGAACGAATAAACAGCTATCATAACAGATATTTGACTTTTTTTATAGTTGAAAAACTTTGAAAATGAAGTGAAAATATTTTTAATAATTGTATTTACTAATTAATTAAATTATATTAAAATATTACATTCTATATGCAAGTACCGTACGATATATATGTAATTTGCTCATCGACTCCTAAGGATCGATACTAACCCCGATCTTTGATGGGCGGATGGTCGAGCGGTCAAAATGGCAACCTACCGCTCTGGGGAATCCGGGATCGAATCCGAACGGGACGAAAAATCCCCAGGAATTTTTCGGGGGTCCATCCGGATATGTCGGGCCCCTTCCTTCACCCCCTAACTATCCTATTGTGGATCGAACCCATAATAGACTTATTTTAGTGCCTACAGGGAGGAAAGAGTAAAAACAAAAAAAAAATTTGAAATCATTTTTCTATATTATATATATATATTATTATTTTTAAAACCTAAATTATTATTTTTTTATTATACTGAAAAAAAAATTATAAGGATTAAAATCTCGTAATATATATATTTTTTCCTTTTTTTTTTAAATTTTAATGTTTAGAGATGGCGCTGTGATTAGNAAACAAATGTGGGAAAGAAGTTGCTGGAAAAATGTTTTAGTAATCTTGATTTCCGTTTTAAATCCACTGAGACGAAGTTAGTATATACTGTTTCCACATTACTAGACCCAAGGTTCAAAAAGCTAGATTTTAAAAGTCCAGCATGTTGTGCAAATGCAATTAAATGTGTAAATGCAGAACTTTGTAAATTTCCCTCTGTTGAGGCTCAAATAAATTTTCACAATAATGCAGAAAATAAACTTGATATTAAGATAGAAATGTTAACACAAATGCAACTTTAAATTCAAATTTTAAAACTTTTTTAGATGACCCTATTGTGCCTCACAATAGTAATGCTTTGGATGTGTGGAAATCCACGAAATTTTTTAACTATAATTTATGTGAACTTGCCATGAAGTGGCTCTGCATTCCTGCCACTTCAGTTCCAGCAGAAAGATTATTTTCCAAAGCTGGAAATGCTATCAACAACAAGCGGAGTTCTTTAAAGCCAAAGAATGTACACAAACTTCTAGTTTTAAATTCATTATCAATTGAAGAACTGTATGCATTGGAACTGTAATTGAACTATACAAGTTGAAAATAAAATTAAGTTTTGTTTTTTTTTAATTGTTTGAGTTTATCTTGATTGAACATCGATGTTCCAATAGGCATCGATCAAACATCGATGTGAAATCCGACATCGAAATTTAGCATCGATGTTTAGGCAAACATCGATGTTTGACATCGATGTTAAAATTATAGACATCGCACAGCACTGCTCTGGTCTCTCGCAAGCCGGCCGCTGATTAGCTAATCATTTGGATTAGCCAATCAGCGACCGGCTAATCATTTGGATTAGCCAATCAGCGACCGGCTAATCATTTGGATTAGCCAATCAGCGACTGGCTTATGAGAGACCAGAGACAGTGACCAGAATATGGCCCCTGGTGGTGTATGGAGATTTAAAATTGGGGATACAAATCCCTTATTCAGAACTACAATTTTACCCTTTAAATGATATTTGGTATTAAAAAATACATAGAAGAGACCGAAACGTCTGCGTTTTTTGTTGCGTCCGATCAACGGCGGTCTTCCGTGGTGGAGACGACCTTTTATTAGCGGTTACACCTCTGCAAAAGTATGCAAGACGGTTTAAAAAGTTTACCGGTGATGAAAAATAAAGATGTATTTATATACCCTATGTATATCTTGTATGGATAATGTCCTAAAAATAATGTCTACCAAGACTTCATAAATCGGTTCTTTTATAAAAATGTAAAACATTTTTATATTTTAAAATTAATTTGTGATTATTTTTAATATCACAAAGATTGATAACTTATATAAATTCAAATAGATTTAAAAGCTGTATATTTTTAATTTCAGAAACTTTTCTATCTTATTTAGTAATTGAATAATAATCATTAAAATGGGAAATGAAGAAAAATAAAAAAGTTGATGATGACTTATTATGCAAAAATTTTTGGGAAATAGAGTGGTCACATTTATCTGTTTGGCTGTAATTCATAATAATTAGAAATGATTATATAACTCATGAAATAATCCATAGAGACAGAATAGAAGAAAAAGTAAGCTCATCATTAGCAAGTTGATGAACTAGCTAAAAAGGAGTCGAAGAAGTAAAAAAATAAAATATATACGTTTTGTTAAAGAAATTTATATTTTAAAAAATACGTAGTAATGACTAAAACGTCTTGATTTTTTCATGTCGAATCACCAGGAACAACAGTCTTCCATTGCAGAGATGACCTTTTATTAGAGGCTATGCCTTTGTTGGCCATTTTTTGAAGAATGTAAATTGTTTGGCTTGTCATCTGTGAACTTTTTAGACTGTTTACATGTTATTGCAGAGGTGTAACTTCTAATAAAAGGTCGTCTCTGCAATGGAAGACTATTGTTTCTGGTGATTCGACATGTCGAAAATCAAGATGTTTTAGTCTTTTCTATGTATTTTTTAATGTGTTACTTCGTCAGTCATTTTCTGAAAGAAATTTTTATTTTATTTTTTTATTCTTTGTCTCGTTTTGTTTTTACTTATTGACAAGACTATGTCTTGTTTATAAAATTGTACTGCCACTTGTTCTTATCAGCATAGAGGTATGAAGGAGTACATGTCGAGAGTTGATATTTGGCACAGAATATTAGGGCCCAAATCATTTGCGCATAAAAAAAATCCAGACTTGTAGGTAATCAGGGGACCGAGAATCGAGTCAAAATAAAATCCAAAATGGTGACCCTCTTCTACAAACAGGCAAAACAGCCATCTCACCCCACTGAAGTCGTGTAGGGGAGAGTACCACCCGCAGTCATTCTAAGAAGTGAACTCTGACCTTAGGATTGAACATGTAGTTTCTTCTATGTTAAATAAAATATTTAATCTAATTTTGTAAATTTGGGAGTGCTTCAAATATGACGTTAAAACAGTTTTATGTCATTACAAGTGTGGTTATTTTTTTTAACATTATCTAGTATAGCCTAATAAAATCGTAGGACTGATAAAAATTTGACGTTATATTAGGGTTGTCGTTACATTCGATGACATTATAATTGGGTTAAACTGTATATTGTTTGTGCAAAATTTAAAAATATAATTTCGGACGATACAATAGCCACGATTATTTTTTTAAAAAACAGGAACTTTTCGTTACGCATCAACAAAAATTCAACCCGGGCTGACATGCAACAGAGAGAAATTTTGAAATTAGATAAGTTAATTTCATCGAAGATGCATCATGGACAATCTCGTGGTCGTGGCTGGCAAAGTTTGAACGATCACTCCCAAAAGCAGCGATATCAAAGAAGGTAGGAGAATGAGAACGAGACCTGCCTTGAGCATCAAAGTGATTCTGTCTCCGAGACATAGTCTTGTCCCAAATACGGTTTTGCCATTTTAATTGTTTTGATAAATATATACAGTATCATCTTTCAGAAAATAGAAATATGTTTTCTTTAAAGAAAACGTACATTTTATTTTCTTTATTATAATAGATGTATATTTTATCAAAATAATACATAAAAAAGTCTTAAAATCTACCATTGGGAAAGACGGTATATTACTTTTGTTATTTATGACAAGAGTAAAGAAGTAGTCTAATGACTGCTGAAGACAATGTTGCATCACCTGGAGATCACTTGGATAATAGAATATGACATCCTATTTATCTGGTGATTACATATCTGAGATTACTGTTCTATTAATTTTGAATAATTCAGGAAATATTGCATACGTTTTTATTGATGTAAAATTTTAAGTTAAAGCAGCTTTAAACGTAAATAAATAAACGAAAATATTTTAAATGAAAAATTATATGTTGAAATTTAATAACTAAATGTAAAGTCTGTTGTAAAAGACATTTTTCATTTGTGTTCTAGCACTTTTGTATTTCAATTTGATACTCTTAATTTTATCACTATTTAACTCTTGAAAAATTAATACTACTTTATGTAACTCTAAATAATTAAGTATATTATTTAAAATTGAATATTACTATTTTCTACACTTTTAGCAGCTACAATTAACAGGCATTGTATGTTTTAATGTGATAATTTTGGTGCAATATTTTTAAATTTAATTGCTAAAACTTTGAATCTTGGATTGAATAATGTAATTACTTAAATATCTTCTAAATATTGTTGAAAAGCATATGTTTATTTGAAATCATAATATATTAAGGCATATACTGTATTATGAAATGTTGGCTTTTTCAAGAATGAATGAAAACCATTTTTTACATTCAGACAGACGTTTTATTTTATATGTTTTGTACTAGTGCACTTTTCCCATAGACAGATCTATGGGAAAAGTGCACTATTACAAAAAAATAAAGCAAGTCATCAGACAAAAAGTGATTAGAATAAGACAGTCCTATTTTAACAAATAAAATATCTGATTGTATGGACTTTTGCCAAGACAAAAGACTGTACAATTCATGAGTAATCTAATCTTATCAAGTTTTGTTTTTTAATCTTTCCAATGTTCTTCGGATGGTTGCTGATGGTTTTGCAACATATCTCATAAGTTCAGTTGAATCAACTTCCATCAGTGCCTGCATGCAGTTGTCATCATCAAGTATGGGTGGTTTTTCCACACACATTTTTTTCTCCTCCAGGAAGGAACATTTTAAATCATCTCTCTATGGTTTATTCATCAGCAGATTTTACTTGCTATTGCAAGTGACATTGTGACCCAGTTTGAACTCATACAAAAAAATAACTCTATTTCCTTGCATGACACTATCATATAAAACATCTGAAAAAATTGGTTATTGAAGAATAAAATAAAAACTAATAACTTTAAATTAACATGAAAAAAATCACATGCACGCACTGTGGTGGCACATGAATTTTTGTGGTTTTCATAATGTGCATGCATTGTCCGCTGTAATGGCTACATAAAAATTCAAATGCTCATAACTTATAATAAGTGCATCTTCTCGAAAAAACACTTCAGATAAAAGTCTATTTTTCTATTTAAAATCATATTATGCAAATATAAAACATATTTAATGATAGTTTATATGAAATATATAAGTTAAATATTAATTATATTAATAGTATATACTATATTAAATATTTATCAAAATAGTTTATCGGGAAATTATTATTTCAAATTATAAAGTTTGTTTTGAAACATTAAAATATTTTTATTAATATTATTAGAAAATTTGCTTGAAATATACTAATAAAAATTAAATTGTTTAATTCTTTTCTAGTACAGTTTGTTGATATTGAATCCTTCAAAATCACTAAAATGGCTGAAGATTCATCTTTGTAAGTATCACAGTATACAGTTAAGTTATATAATTACATTAACTATAGGTAATTATTAAAATGTTTTTGCTGAAAATTGATTATACTAATCAAGTAAAATCTACAATAAAAATAAATTAATTCACAATGTTAGCTGACCTGATTTTAATGAAAACTAAAACTTTTTTATAACCTTCTTTTAGAAAGTTTATAAAAAAAAAAAATTATCAACTCTCCTCATACTCTCTTCATTTAAATATTTATGTAATAACCTTTTATGCACATATTTTCTTTGGTAGCCTGCCTCTTGTCAAATTTCTTAGTAATTATTTAGCCTTATAGCCTAATAAAGAATCTGGCTGTTTGTTTGGTATTTCTTTTTTTCATTTGGAGTTTTTGATAATAAGTTTTTATATATAAATTTAATCTAATATTTTTGTTTACTGATTGTGTATATATAATTTCTGTTTTAAGTTAATATTTTTAAATGTTTTGTTCTTCAGGGAAGTTAAAAAATAGTAATGCTTTAGTTTATTTAGTTCAGTTTGGTTAATAATAATATAAATTATCAGTTTCTGATCAAAATTTGTTATTTTTGAATTCAAATATAAATCATTTGAGGCTTGCATTTGTTGTTGTGTGTTTAATCCTGGCCACAAATGATGACCAGGATATACGCTAATAAATACTGTGATTGAACCTCCTAAAATATGTAATTTATATTATTGTTAACTGTTAAAATTATTGTTTTTAGATGCTGTGTTAATAAAAATATACATTGTCATATATTTTCAAAAACTTTCTCTTCTTTATTAATTAAATAATTTGGAATTGCCATATTTATAATTATCTAATAATGTAACTAAAAACTACTGTAACTGTAATCAGAAAAATTCAAATTTATTTTATATATATAAATTAAAATTTAAAAGAAAGAAAATAATTTTCCTTAATTGTAGTTTGCATATAAAATAAACTAGATTTTTATTTTAATGTTACATGATGAAATCTTTATTTTATTGTGATAATATACTGTAAAACAGTGGAACAGTTGTTGTCATATTGTTCTTACACAATTATATTTATAATTATATATTGTATTTTGAAATGTATAATTAAATTGAAAACTTTTTGTTTATTTAGATTATATAGTTAAATTATACTTACAAAAAATAAGAATTATTATTGTATATTAATATTTTATTTTCATTGTGTTTCATTTTTAATTATGATCTGATCAAAATTTTTTTTCTCTATTTTTATTAGAGCTTTGACAGTTATGTTTGAAATTGTGAAGACATATGGAATCCAATTTAGACCTCATTGGTGGCAAGATTTATTTCAAATTGTTTTTCGTATTTTTGATAATATGAAATTACCAGAACAACAAACAGAGGTTAGACAATATTTTTCTTTTAAATATCATATTGTTAATAATAACAAAAGATAAATTTATACATATCAATAATTAATTTAAATGATATATTTTCTACTTATTCTCAATATTTTTCAAACTTATTACATATTTTTCTTTAATTTTATTTCAAATTTTAATTGTGAGATTGCTCAAAAAAAAAAATAATGTCAGCTTTTAAAATGTGAAATTATAACTTTTTTATAGAAGTAAGGAAAGAATTTACTATGCATTGGAAGAAATTTTCTTGTATTTCTTAGTTTATTATTAACAATATTTTGCAAAGTTTCTATATCTCGAATACATTGAATATCATTTTTGGCAAAGGGTTACTTGTATGCTTATTTATTTAGTTAATTTTAAATGTCATTTAACCTCTTTAATTTTGATTCTTGCTGCTAGTTTAATTTTTCTTCAGTTTTTTTAATGTTGTTTTTTGCTTTATAATTTTTTGGTTATTTGTGTAGTTAGTTTTGTATTTTTTAATGTATTCCACTGTTCAATGAAACAGTTTTCCCAAAAAAAATTTTTTTTTCCTATATTGAATTTGTTTATTTCTTATGATATGTCTTCTGAAAGAAAGAAATCCAATCTACTGTTTGTTAGTTTTTTCTGTGATTGCTTTCTTTTAACAAACTTGTTTTTTGTATTATTACAAATTTTCTTGTGACTGCAAATCTTTTTTGGTCTTATTTTTTATTTCTACTTTTTAATTTAAAGTAAATACCATAGGTTTTGTCTTTAAATAAATTTGATTATTGCAAATTAAATATCTTATATATTACGTTTCCAAAAGTGTAATACAAACCTTTAANGTTCTTTTAGAAAACAAAAAAATAAATAAATCTTACAAATGTTTTTTGGCTATTTGTTGTTATAAAACTAGATGTGAGTTTCAAATAAGCTTATTGGGCAGCAATTTTTACGTTTCCACTATCATTTGTCCTTCACTAATCTGACATTGGAGTTAGACAGATGAAAATTGAGACCAAATATAGGGGTTAGACTCTCATTAACTATATATGAACTTCCAGTTTGCACTGGGTGTCATGCAATTTTTTAATTAATGTATGATTAAAAATTGCAGCCCACAGCACTGTGGTTTGGCCTGATTTATAAATAATTATTAAGAAATGTTACTATCATATTTATTGTATGGATAATTGAAACTTGAATATAATTTCATTAAAGCATATTACTTAGAATATTTATTTTATAAACATTTTAATATTTTTGTATAAAATTTTCTATAGAATAAAATAAAATATTGAAAAGTAACTCATATATTTAATAAATTAAGCTCTTGTTTAAATGAATTAATATATAATCATCCTTGATATATTAGTATTTAATAGCTGAGGAACCCAGCTTTGCTCAAGAAAATGATATATTAAGTAAGGCTGTGTTCATACTGCCAATGACATTGACAAAAACCGATGTTTTTATCATTTGTCTTTGTGTGTAAAATGTTCACACTAGTCATTATAATTGCATTTTTGCCTTAGTTTTTTATCATTTGAAAGTTAGCCAAGATTCGACATTTGTTGTTGTAATGGTATTGTCCAATTAACAAAAACTTATCACAATTCTCTTTGAACAAGATGGAGGAATGGCTAATCTCGTGTGCCAAAGAGACCGTATGATACTTAATTTTGGTTGAAAGTATTTGGAGACATATGAAAATAATTAAAAAGTAACTTTGATATCTTTTAATCCTTATTCCTGGACCAAAAGATGAAAATATTATGTTTTTCTCTTAATATTAATGATTTTGGTCTAACACTGATGTTTTGATGTTTTTCTAACAACAGTAATAAATTCAGCTGTTGACGTTGAAGAATTAACATTTTATTCTGCTTATTCATTTTTAAAACAGAGATGAATTCGATCTAAAAGTGCAGAAATCCATGGAATAATGCTAAGTTTAATGTAAATTGCACATGCTCTAACACAAAAATTAACGAACAATGTGAACACTATGGTGATGAATAAATACAATGAAAAACACACTGTTGTTGTTGTGTGGTATCTATGATTGCTGTTGTCTGGGATCTGTAATCATTGTCATGAGCAGTGTGAACACAACCTTAATAAATCCAAAGTAAAGTTAATGTGTATATAAAATACATAGGAAAAGTTGGGGCAAGACAGGGTAGTTAAGAAACTTAATTTTTTTATAACTAACTATTTAAACTTGAGAAAGACTTTATCTGTCATTGAATGCTTAATGATGTGTATTTCAACATTAATCAACAAAAATTCAAATTATTAACATTTTTCTTTTTGTTTTTACAATGTTTATGAAATCATGTCAAATACCTCATCTTGCACTAAAGATGGGGTAAGGCAGTGTATTTTGAGGCAATATAGAGTGGTTTAAATCAAATTTATTTTTTATATTTATGAAGATTAGACAAGAAACTAGCAATGAAACAATATTTTGGGTCTATTACAGAAATTTTTATAGCACATCAGTCTATTTTTCTTGAAGATATAGTGCCAAAATGTGGTGGCCTCATTATCCTCATCTTTACCATCTTGTGAAAATCCATTTGTGACATTACACTGCATATCTAACATTCTGTTGAATCAGAATACAAATATCCATAGTATTTGCATTCAGTGTCTTTATCATTTGAAAAACTTTCTTTGGATACTTTAACTGATGCATTCCTCCTTTTCTTCTTTGTGTTTTGTCTTTTTGCAACTTGACTATTTTTTCTATTTTTGTCTTGCTCTGTAAGTTTGTCTTCTCTTAAGTCTTTTTGTTTTCCATTAAGATGACATTCCAAACAAGAGACATGATGAAGTAACCTTGTTTTGCTCCACACAACTCTTCCCCATCTTGCCCCAATATGTCATTTTGAATTCTTGCTAAAATTCTTTGGTAATCAATGGTATGAATGAAAGACTTCTACAGTCATGTGAAGCTAAAGAACTTCTCTAGTGATAGAAAGAATCAAAAAATTAAAGAAACTTATGTATAGATGCTTCTGAAAATGTAGCAAATTACATCAACATGGCTTTCAAACACATTGCTTCCTCCATAGGCAAAGAGCATTGAACAACAACAATAATTTTATTTGCATCTAATTCTTTCAGTGTGCAGATTTAGTTGCAGTATTTACTAAGTCACAACTCTTATTATGCACAATGAAGACTATACCCCATTTTGCCTCACTATGCCATTTTGTCCAACTTTCCCCTGCATATAAAAATATATGTAAGAAAAAACTATATATACTTATAATAAACTTATAATATAATAGATCTGACTAAAAACAATTTTACATCAAAAGAAATTTCAGGGACTTACTTATAAGTCTGATACAGATAAAAATGGCAATTGTTGTACATTCAGTACTGAATGCATTTTACTCAAATAAGAAGATGACCAATAAAATTTCATTTGATCATCTTATGTCCACTTTTGCCACCCATTAGTAACTATAACATTAGCTTATTTTTTTCAAATTTTATGGTTCACTATTTAGATCTCTAGGCAAACTTCCTGTTTATGTGAAAAACCTGATAAGAATCAATGTGGAATTTATCAGCAGTTGTAAATAATCAATATTTATTCTTGTTAACAATACCATAATTCTATCAAAGCTTATAAAATTAAATGATTTTGAAAATAGAAAATAGCCTATATCCTTCCCAGGAACATTCTGAATATATGTACAAAATTTCATAGAAATTGGTTCCACCATTCTCATGTAATAACTTGGACAGACAACAGGCAGGAATTCAGTTTTATATATTTATATTATAGAAACAAATTTTATAATTTAAAATTTTACTTAATTATTAAATATAATTAAGTTAAAAATAATTTTAAATTGTTATATAATTTATTAATATAATTTGATTTTTAAATTCATTAAAACTATAGATAAATTAACTGATGTTAATTTTTTACAGGGTCAATAAAGAATGTAATGTAGAATCTGAAGAGTCTGATGCAACTGTTAAAGAGGTATATCAAATATTTTATATCAATAAATACATATACAACAAAATGGCAAGTAGACTGGAACAAACAACTCAACAATAAACTACACATCATCAAACCAGAGTTAATAAAATGGACAACCAGCCAACAGAAAAACCAGAAAGAAGAAATAGCACTTGCCCAACTGAGAACTGGACAAACAAAACTAACATATAACTGTCTAATAACAAAGGATACCCAACTGATATGCTCAACTTGCCACACTCCACTTACCATCTGACATATATTACTAATGTGCCCTCAGTACAAAATAGCCAGAGAACACTACCTTCAACAATATACATTTACAGATGACCAAGCTCTACAGAATATACTAGACAATAATGGACAAATTCAACATAAAATGGCATGTCTGAAAACAATAAACTTATATACAGAACTCTAGACAACAGAACAATTTGATTATTAAGACCTTAAAGGCTTATACCTGGCACTCTTTGGCTTATCTAGGTCCTTCTGCTACAAACCCCAAATCCAACCAATGAAATATTTTATATTTTTAATAATGAGTTGGGCGTCTTTTTGCCCTGATAACAACTAGGCATTGATTCATCCAAATTTTTATAACAGTTTTGTCTATTAAATTCAAAACTCTGATGATGATGTTTTTAAGATCAGTTTTGTTTGTTATTGATTCTGTCCTGATTGTTTACTGTGATCTTATAAATGCTCAATTGGGTTGAGGTCAGGCAATTGCCAGGACAAGGAAACACCTTTATAAAGTTTACATCAAGAAACTGACTGATTTTCAAAGTGTTGTTTGGATTGTTGTCATGCTGGAAAACAAACCCTTACTCTGACTTTAATTTTTCTTAATGATTTCTAAACATTTTTATTTAAAATCTGTTTATATACATATTGATTCATTATTCTATCAACAAATTGCAGAGTTCCAGCACTATTTTCGGACGTACAACTCCAAATAGCACTAAACTATCTCCACATTTCACTGTAGGAATCAGGTTTTTCATTTTTAAAGATTCTCCATATTTTCAGGCAATAATTTGTTCAAAACACACTGAATTTTGATCATCTGACCTCAAAACTGATTTCCAAAATTTCACTGATTCTGTATAAAACTCTTTTGCAAACTTTAACCTTTACTGCTGGTTTTTTTCTGTTGATGAACAGTTTTTTCATAGCCATAAAATATTTATAGCTACTTTCTTTTAAAATGTTTCTAGTTTCTGCAGATGTACGTATGTACTCCACATTCTATGAAAGCCTCAACAGCAAGCTTAGGAATTATTTGTGGATTTTTTTTCACTTTCCAGACAATGACATGTTTCTGTCTCGAGGTAACTATTTCAAGATGTCCAGTTCAAGCTTTATTAACTACACTATTTGTCATAAGGAATTTCTTAATGGTATCTTGAATTGTGGATTTTGGAATGTGAAACTGTTCTGCAAGGTTTTGCACAGATTCCCCCATTGCTATTCCTTAATAGTGAGCCTTTAATAAAAATGGTTAATTTGTTTGTTTTTTAATGTTCACAATGACAAAATAAAATAATTCAAGTATGAAACAAACACTTCAACTCATTTTTTGAGGAAAATTGTTGTAAACATGTTTTTGAGTAAATGATTTGACATTTTCTATCGTTTATTTCATCTGTCCTGATACTTTTGTGATGTGATACTTTTCACAGTTTGAAATCTATACTAATATTATAAAGAGGTAATGTTTGTGTGTAAGTTTGTTTGCAGCAGGTAATCTCCGAAACTACTCATCCAATTTCAAAAATTCTTTCACCAATATTTAGAATGGAACTTCAGGGTGGACATAGGCTGTATATTATTCTGTTAAACATTCATATAAATTAAATGATATCATCTAGGGTTAAGGCTTTTATGTCCAACAGATGGCGCTACGAGTACGACGCCCTAAGTTTGCTTTTCTGTGAGGCATTATGCTTTTCTGTGAAGATGAACTAAAGCAGATCATCTTCTATCTATTTACATAAATAAAACTGTGATGTTCGTTTGTTCCTACCGATTCCTTTGAAATTTTGACACAACGCTGCATTCGAATACGCACGTGTTTTTATACAGTCGACCCCCCTATAATTACAGTCCCTATAATTACGATTCCTATAAAACTACGAAAATATATACATATTTTGGAAATGTTGAGTCAGATTAGTATAGAATCGATTAATTTTATGGAAGAAAACCTTTCAATCAGCCGTAGTCCGTAAACTTGACACGTGTCGGGCTGTGATTGGAACGACTTGTAAGAAATCGGATTCCTAATAAATTGGAACGTATCTATATCTTATAGGGGGGTCGANATTATTATTAATAAAAATTATTTTGCTTCTACATATTTTAATATCATGCACATACATCTCAGTTATCCAGTTTTCAGATTATTTACATTTCTTGATTATCCATGCAGTATTTTTATACCATTATCATGGATACTCATTTTGTTTTATTTAAATTATGATATTACAATGTGAAATTTTATTTTATATTGTAATATGTATGTAATGTGTGAAACATTTTTCATTTTTTTCAAGTAAATAACTTCTCTGGTAACAATTGGTAAAAAAGTAAATTGCAATTTCATCAATGCTGTGAAAATCAAAGGGCTATATTGGTTGAATAATGTCTTTTTTTTTATTTCAGCTATTTCTCTACAATAGAATTATCAACACATTCACTTTCTCCAACATCTACACACACAACTTTAGTCATTCTCACACTCTTCAAAGACAAGCACAGAATTGTTTTTAGTACTGAAGCAAAATTGGTTTCCCCAAAAGCTTGAAAGTCTTTTTCTTTTTATAATCAATACTTTAATTGGCACATTTCTACTTCTTAAACTTCTAAATTATTTAAATAAGATTTTTCCATGTCTTTGTGAGCAGCTTCTCAAAATATATATATTTTTTTTCACATAGAGGTATTATGGAACTTACTAGAAGTTTGTGCTAAAGAGCAAACTTGCTGAAATTGTTGGAATGCCAAATTTCTTGAAAATTTCATATTTCAGTTATCTCTCCATCAACTAACTTAATGAAGAGATAATTGAAATATGAAATCTTTGACCTTGGAGACAAAGATTTTGATATTATTTAAAAGACATTATCTGAAAACATTGATGGCCACGTGTGCAGAGTCAGGACAACTGACTGCCACTGATTGACCACAAGTCAAATGATTGCTGCTGACTGACTACCAAAAACTTACCATCTGACTCCTAATAACCAATTTCCTGAGAAAAAACTGACTGTCAAACACTTTTCAGTTGCAGTATGTTTTTCCACTTTACCAATTTTACAGAATGCTGAAAGTTGTTTTTTTAGTTAATTATTGAAATAATTTCCAGTATGAAGTAAAACAGTCTAATTGAAAGCATTTTAAAAATGGCATGGCATATAAAAAGAAATTTTAAAAATTTATTCATTTATTCTATGACAAAATGATGTGATATTCCACACAAACTATTTGATGATGATATCATGGTTGTAGTGCTGAACGAGGTGGAAAATCTGATCATTGGCTCATTGATATTTCTTGCAATTCTGTGTTTTTGTACATCTCCTGCTAAAATATCAGTATTTTGTGCATATATTTTATTTGTTCTACTGCAGTTGAAATTGTATGTGTGATTGTCATTTTACCCTGCTGGTTTGGAATGTCACCATCCTTACTGTGATCTTTGACACTGAACTGATATTCTGATCATGTTTAGAAGTGAAGTTAGAGTTGGTGTTCAGTCTTTTGTATGTGGTGAATTATTCTAAATTATTACACTTCAAATAATTTCTATGAGCTTATATTTATCTGTATTTTCAACATAATTAAGTCAATAAATGTACTTGAGATTTTAACGTACTCAAGTGTAACAAACAAATTCATCTAACAACTTCATTTTAGGAAAAGGAATTAGTGTTGTAAATGCATCTCTATATTTTTTATATAAGTTCAAAAGCTTCATTGTATCTGATATATTTCATGTTACTTTATACCTTAGCATTTTAGCATAATACAGTAGAGCCTCGAAAACTCGGCACTTGATAACTCGGCCACACCCTGGCAGGGCAAAAAAATCCTTAGTTAATTAATTTTCATGATAAAGACAACTTTATGCCTCATAAAGTATTTTTCTGAGGTCTGTCTTATCAGGTAAATTACTGTACACAGTGTATTCATTAATTTTCATTTTCATGTACTAAAGACACTATGCCTTCATAAAAGACGTACTTTTCCTTTGTTTAAGGGTATTTGGGCAGTTTATTCTCTGTTGTATTCTCAAGTAAACAATACATACAAGTACAGTACAGTATTTTCTGAGGAAACACTCATACTTATTTTTTTTAACCCCATTCCCAATAACCCGGCATTTTCACAAACTCGGCCACCCTTCGGTTCACATTAGGCCGAGTTTTCGAGGATCTACTGTATTAATATTGCTGATTCAAGGGATAGAAAAACTTCTTAACTAATAATTTGGAAAACTTATTTTGCTATATGTTGGCCTGACTGTATTATTTAATAAATTATATAAAATATACCTAACATATTTATGTGTATGTATATTTGCAATTTGATTTAATAATATAAATATATATTTAATTTTATTCAATGAAATTATAGATATTTTCTTCTGTAGTTTCATCACCATTTTCTAAAAATTGAAGATTGCTGTTCATCTTTATCAGCATTAAAGCCATCACCAAATCATACTATTCTCTTTGATGTAAGTAATAGATATTTTATTTTTATGCAGTTATTTAATTTGTATAAAAGTAATATGTAAAATATACTTAAATATATTGTATATGATATAATATTTTTAGGTAAATGTAGAAGACATTCCAAATGTTTCTTATCCAGCTACATACACTGATAAATGGGAAAAACATTATGTGAGATTACCTTGTTCATCTAGAAATCTTTATCCTGTAGAAGAAGTAAGGACAGTTTTTAATTATAAAGACAATAGCATTCTTAAGATGTAGATTAATGAATAATTAATTATTATTTAGAATGGAAATGTTGTTATAAAAAGCAGATGGGAACTTATAGAGAAAAGTTTACTCTCTGATATAAAAAATTCGAAAGATTTAGAAGTAAGTTTTTATACATAAAATTTATTTTGTATTTTCATGATAAGTAATAAAAATCATTTTTTAATTAGAGAGCAATATTAAGTTATAATAGTCAATATGAAAATCAATGGAATATGAATGGTTTGCATGATTTTTTTGAAAATGTAAGTATTGATTTTTCTTTAACAAACATATTTATTTTTATTTTTTATGATTATGCTATACATAAAAATAATAATATCAGTTAAATATAAAGAATTTTAGGAATTATTTTTCTTCATTTTTAATTAGATATTTAGTGAACTTTCCAAAATGCTTAAAAATTAATTTTATATTGCAATGAATTGTTGAAATTAAGAGTAAATCATTGTGTTGAATTTGTTTTGAAATATAATATTTTTAAACCCTTTTTGTAGAAATTTAATTTATTTGAAGTCAAAGTTTTAATTTTTTAAATGTTTTAATAACAAATATTGATTTCTAATTGTATTTTCAATGACATCATTTTACATAATTCATAGCATTTAAATTTTTTATATGAAAATAATATTTGTTATAAATTTAGTTAAAACATAGTTTAAGATGCCTTCAAAAATATTTGATTAATTATGGAGTAAGAATGATATATATATAAACCCTCATATATTATCATGGACTAGGAATTCATGGTAGTGTATAAAGGGGATCCATGAAAAATTCAGTGTTATTTTGATAAGTTCGTATTTCAACTGATTTAATCATGAAATGTAAGTAATTATTTTTATTATATTATTTTAACAAAGAAACTTATGCAATATTAAACAATTGACTTGTTTAATATTACAAAAATGTCTAAACTTACCAAGAGTATTTTTAAAAAACATGAAAAATCTTTTTCACTATCAATGAGTACTATGATACTGTATTATATTAGTATAATAATAAGATAAGTATATATGCATAAATTTTGCAATACTTTCTCTGGACCTAATCACACAAGGAGGATGATTAGATCCAGAGAAAGTATTGCAAAATTTATGTATATATACTTATCTTATTATTATACTAACTTCATACTGCAGACATTCATCATCCATCATAATTTTTCCCAGAATCACAGAATGCACATATATTTGCATGCCTCATCTTTTAGTTTTCATGTGTTCCTATTTTGTGTGTCAGTCTATGCTTTAATTGATATTATTAGACATTCTTACTTGAACTTGTATTCTGAAAACTAATAAGTTACCAATAATTTTTTCTTTTTGTATATATTAACTCAGAGAAATATTTAAAAACTGACTGATTGTTAATATTATCTATGTAAATAAAATTAATGGTTAGCCTGTTTCTCAGTTTGATGTTTGTTGCTACATCATGAGACAATACCTGAACATATTTTAACCAAACTTCATATTTTGAATCTGTAGATTCAGGAGAAAGTTTAACATACATATGATCTCAAAATCTACATTATATAAATTAAACTGTAACAGATTTCTGTCTGTCTTTTTGTCTCTCTGTTTGCTAGATGGTGACACATCACATTAATCAGCATCTGTCAGTCAAGTTATTATCTACAAGAAAGTTGTACTATTGAAGTATAGTATTATGTTTGGAAAACTAACATTAAAAAGTAGTTAGTAAGAAATTAGCAAAACATGTGAGAAGTTGTAAAAAAATGACTCACTCTGCGAAATGGCACTCCATATATGCATGGAGGAATTTTTTGAAACAATCATATCACATTCTTAGTTACTTAGACCCATAAGTTTTATTTATATATAAGATTGATTTAACAGAATTTAACATAATTATATATAAAAATCAAAATATGTGTGTGTTAGTTGAAGGGTTCTATACCATTCAACAAGTCTGCACCAAATATGACATGAATATTCTTTAAAACCCTAGAAAAAATACTGTGGGTCCCCTAATCACCCTTAAAGCCTACCTTCTATTAACTGAAGGCCAAGTAATTTTTTCTGTGATTTGCAGTTTTATTATTGTAAATACTCAGGTCAATAAATGTGCATTTTAATTATTAAGATCGTTATTTTTATCATCCTCTTCCAACCTATCCTCACTAATCCCCACTCCCTCAAAAGCCCAAGCAATGCTGGGTACATGAAGCTAGTATGTTAATAAGAGTAATATCATAATGAACAGTGAGAGTTGCTTGATTGGCTCTCAAACCTGTACCATATTATTGATATTAAAATTTTTTAATAAAATTTTTGTAGCGCATTACTTTATTTTTAGAAATGTTTGGAACTTTTACTCTGAAAGTTGGCGACCTTATTTTCTGCTTTAAATTCTACTTAATAATTAATCTAAATTAATTATTTTAATGACAGATTTAAATTGTGAATTGATAAGAAATTATATCATTTATTTTTCCATATTCGAAAGTTCTGATATACATTTTCTAAATTGTGATTTACTGCCTTAACTAAAAATCGATATGAATTTATTTTTTATTTATTGGTTTTAAGTTTTTAGTATACTTTACATGTTAATTTTCTTATAATTTAAAATATAATAATGTTGTTTTAGACTGAAAATCTCAAATTTTATTAAAATTCAAGTACTTTTGAGTGTTGCTGGCTCGTCTTTGGAGCTTGAAGGCATTCGGTTTTTAAATATTTTCATTCCAATTTCGAGTTTTGATTGAAGTTTACACATTATATTTTAAATAAATACTGAATAAAATTAATTACTAAGGTAACATTAACTTAAATACTGAATATTCATTATATATTAAGTATTTAAAACTTTGAATATTAATAGCCTCATACATCGCCTTCATCTCCTTTCTGTTTGTTTCTGAATGACATAAATATTATCAGCATATAAATATGAGATAGGAAACAAAATCAAATTAAACATTTTAATTTTGTTTATTTGTTTTTATTTAAAGAAATTTGGCCTTAATCTATTCAAAAACATATATCTCAGCAACAATGCTAATGCTTTATTTTGCCATTTATTTCATTTTTCGTTTCGATTTTGTTATTGATTGATGCCAGATTTAGTAAATATATATGTATATTGTCTTTGTATTTTGCTGAGTTTTTCATTACGTAAATTAATAATTTATATATTCATCTTTTCTTGAAGTTCTCTGAAAATTTGCATTNTTTTAAATAGGTATTAAGTAAAGAAAAAACTTTGGAATTTTTTACTTGTTTACTGCCAGCTATGATTTTACTTGCTTTGCAACTTCCTGTTTTATGTACACAGGTAAGAAGAATTTTCAGTACTTTAAGTTTAAAATGATTCGTACGGTTACAAAATTATAATTTAACTGAAATAAATTTATTTATTTAGCCTATACCATTATTGGAAAGACGAAAAAATCATAAAATTACACTTAGTCAGATGCAAGTTGGATGCCTTCTAGCCAATGCCTTTTTTTGTACATTTCCTCGTAGGAATACAAAACATCGAAAACATACTGATCCCGAATATATCTGGTATCCTGATATAAATTTTAATAGGTTAGCATTTTTGTAAACTTATTTATTTAAGATTTACTGTTTTCACTCAATAAATATTTTCATTTACAAAGTAATTTTATTTTAACCAAATTCTTTCTGATCATGCCCAATTAGTTTATCAACAAATTTTCATTCATAAAGATCATAATTTAACAGATTTTTGAGATTCTTTAGATTGATCTTGTAGACTACTTCAATATTAATTCTCTACACTAATAGCAAATACTGTTGGGCTCTTGAGTTTTTAGTGTTTAATTTTGTTATCATTGTTATTTTTGTCTTTACATGTTCAAAGTTTAATTTTTACTTTCCCAGCTCTATTATATACAGTCAACCCCCCTATAACACGGTAGATACATTCCGGTTTTTATGAATCCATTTTCTACGAGTCCAGCCAATCACAGCCCGGCACGTATGCAGTTTACGGACTACGGCTGTTTGAAAGGTTTCTTCTGTAAAATTAATCGATTCTAGACTAATTTGACTCAACATTTCCAAAATACGTATAATTTTTTGGAATAATCCATATAAACTATGCTATAAACAAAAAATTGTAAGATTACTTACTGAGTGTGCACTGTTTGACTACGCCATTGCTTAAGCTTGTTTTCGTCGTGGAGCTTGTCATTGAATGGCGCTTGCATGCTTCCTGATAAATTATTTTTTTTTTGCAAAAAATTCGCTGAACTTTGGAGACATCATTAATATAAATATAATTTTTATGGACATTAAATAATAAATGGTTTTTGTTGGTCCACTTCTCGTTTAAACTCAACGGTTTGTGCAATATCCATTATTGGTCTAGATTCGACCAATCCTGTCACAACACGAGTCGGCGATGACGTTTTACCAAATTATAGGAGTTTTTTTTAGCATGTTTGTACAAATACTGTCACAATTTTTTCGCCATGATATAGGATGTGAACTATAGGAACCTGTGTTATAGGGGGATCTACTGTATAACAGAGGGAAAGTATAGCAATCGGTCAAAAAATAATCCCAAGATTTTTACATTTTTGGACTTGGGACCAGGAAACATCAAGAAATACAAAAAAATTCGGGGATGTTTTCTGTATGTATGTATGGATGTTTGTGTGTGGGGAGGACTTGATTTTGTTCACCCTTTTTGAATCTCAATAACTCTTGTGATTTTTGTCAAAAATTTCTGAAATGTTGCTGGGAGGTTTGTATATTAGGGGGATTGATGCTTTTAAATTTTGGCGGTTAAAAATCAACAGGGTAGAGAAATAAAAGGGGAGATGTGTCATATCTCAAGTAGGGTCGGACTTAATGGCAATTTTACTCATTATTAGCATTTACAAGTTTTTAAAATCCATCCCTACCCCAAAAATTAAACTTTACCATTTTATAATAATTAAAAATGTAAAAAGTTTGTTTTAATAAAATATCATAACAGATGGCGCTACGCAGTTTTAAACATTGCCAGGAAAGATAAGAAATTTATTGCTGGATTTTTTTAAATTAAAAATTTAGTTTTAATTAAAAACATCTTACTTAAAATTAAATTAGTTACATGTTTATTTTTTTTCAGATTATTTATTGGAACTAGAAAAGGTATAGAATCCAAGAGAGCAGAAAAACTAAAATGTATTCTAAACTATTTCCAAAGAATTACTTCAGAAAGTAAGGTACTTTTAAATTTTACAATATTTAATATATTTATGTTAGTAAATTTTCAATTATTTATTTTGAAGAACCTGAAGGGGTAATTACATTTCATCGAATATATCATCAAGAATCGCCAGAATGGAGCCAATCTAAAGAAATTTTAAGATCAATGTTAGTTTCTTCAGAAGGATTTATAGAGAAAGAAGGATATGGATTGTTACAGGTTAGATTTTACTTAATGATATTTTTAAGAAAACAAAAATAAAATACAGTATGTAGTACTTATCTATTATTAGAACCTATTATACTGGATAACTGTACAGGTGATTATTTATCACCTGTACAGGTGATAAATAAAGATTGTTTTCTGACTTTGTTTACTTAATTTGCAGAACCAGTTATCCAGTATAATAGGTCCTAATAATAGATAAGTCTTAGTTGAAATTTTAAGTTTAAATTAATAAATTATGGACACAAAGACATTTAAATTTGAAAATACAATACATTAATATAGTTTATCCACAGGTTGACTTTGCAAACAAATTTGTTGGAGGTGGAGTTCTAGGGCTTGGATTAGTTCAAGAAGAAATTAGATTTGTATTATGTCCAGAATTAATTCTTTCCAGATTATTTACAGAAAGATTGGATGCTACTGAAGCACTCCTTATTACTGGTAAGTTTTTATATTAAAAATAAGCACATATCATGCTTTTAAATTTGGATATAATCATATTTTGTTCAAAAACCTTTCAGGTTGTGAACAGTTTAATAATTGTACTGGTTATGGGAATACATTCAAGTGGGCAGGAGACTTTAAAGACAATACCCCTCAGTAAGAAAATATTTTTGTTAATAAAAAACATTTGTATATATATATATATTTGCATAGATACATATGTAAACCATTCACTATTAATTATTGACTTGTCATTTGGTGGAATTTTTATTTAACATCTTAAATACTAACTATATTACAATGTTGATATAACCAAATATTTAAATACACATTCATTGTATTTTATTCAATTCTCCTATTTTTTTCAACATGAAAAGTTTTTTATCAGTATTTATCAGATTTTTAATATTGATATTGGAAACATCAAAATTTTATATAACTAGAAATTATAATGCAATAAAATGGTAAAAATTTTTCAATGGTCATTGATACATACATTTAAAATGAATATTTACCTCTATCTGGTTTAATTGTATTTTGTAGAGATTATTAAATGTATTAATTCCATAATTACACTGTTAAAAAGTTGACTATAATTTCAGTGACAATTGGAAAAGAAAATGCACAAAAGTAGTAGCTATAGATGCTCTAAGTTTTCAGACTGAGGAAGATCAATATAAAATTGATAGAATTAAAAGAGAATTAAACAAGGTTAATAGCTATAATATTTTATTATTAATTAATTAGTTTTAAAGTTTAATATATACATCAGAAATTCTGAGCATATTTTAAAAATTATTATGAAGGCATATACTGGATTTTCTGAATCTGAATTTGATACGCTGCCTGCCATCGCAACCGGTAACTGGGGTTGCGGAGTCTTTCGTGGCAATCCCTGTTTAAAGTCACTCATTCAGTTTATGGCTGCTTCTCAAGCAGGAAGGGATATGATATATTTTACATTTGGTAATCATGAACTACAACAGGATATCAGTCAAATGTACACATTCCTCAAGGAGAAATGTAATACAGTTGGTAAGTTGGACTAAATTTTTTGAAGCGAAAGAATTTCTTAATAGATTTTAATTTATAAGATAACTTAATAATGTTTATGTTATTAATGTATAAAATACATTCTTTTATCAGGTGACTTATGGAAATTGTTAGAAGCATATTCGACTGCATATACATTAAAAAATGAAGATGATACTCCTGAATTATATGAATTTATTTATAGAACATTAAATAGGTAGAACTGTTGTGCATAATATTAAAAATAGTAAATCAGCTGAAGAATTACACAATGGAGTTATTGTTTCTGTAAATCTTTCTGAAAGAAATTTGTTCCTTTTTTTTTTTACAAGGAGAAAAAATAGAAACGGAATACTGCATCAAAGAACATTTCAAATAAAAAAAAAAATCATGTTATTTTTTTATTGTTAAAACCTTTTTTTCTGGAATTATTACATATTTTGAATTTATAACACTTTACACATGAGAAATTTAAGCTGATTAACATTACTGGTTTAAGCATTTTAAAAAAAAATTGCAAGGGATACATTCCACATATAGTATAATTACTTAGTATAAGTAGTATTGAAGTACATGTCTGACAATTAGATAATGCATAAAAGGACCATGTGGCATTTATCATTACAGGGACACACAAAACATTTTTAATCAAAATAAACGCTTTCATGTAGTATACTATCTTAATAAGTTCCATATTCATATTACACAAACCAGATAAGAATTAAAATAACAGTTTGAATTGGGCAGAAATGATTTTATAAATGTTGAAAAATAGTTTAAACTTTCTATACACTATACCTACACTTTATACTCCAGTTAAAAGTAGATTAAGACACAATCATATGTATATTGACTGCTCCAATTTATGGAGAGCATCATTAAGAAAATGAAAATCACGACATGGTCAAATACTTCTGTACCACACGTTAAAAAAAATCGATATTTCTCTACTACAACTTTCCTCAATCGATTTTCATTTATTTTTAATAGAATTCTATATCACTTCAGTACACAAATCAAAGAAAAATATAAATATATATCTATAATAATCATCATCATGAGACTAACCAATCTGGAACTTTGTATGGTGTTTAAAAAAATCGAATCGCGTGATGTTTAATGCTTTATCTCCCCTTCTAAACGGTCTTTGACTCTGTAGGTTAATCTATTCTCGTTGTAAATAAACCATTTTTATTTTTAAAAATATATTATACATACTGTTATGCATTAGTTTATGTTAAAAGTGAGAGAAGTAAAACATTTTTTACACGTTTTTCCCGTTAGTAATACTCTTTTTTTTACGGTTTAACACGTTCTTACAAGATTAAGAGGAAAAAACAGGAGATTTAGTGTGTTTAAGAGAATAAATCGAAGCGGAAATTGTTAATTGAACTCATTTATCTCACACGAAATAAGTTCAAGAAGTCGGAGAACAAAAGATTCATCAGTTTGTAGGTGCGACGTGAAGCCGTTATAAAAATTTTTTCTCTGTTGATTTTTCAGGTCGATTAAGTATTGTTTAATTGGTTAAAGTTTTTGGGGATTATAAATAGATAAAGAATATTAAATAGGTTGCTACGTAACGATTATTAATACAAAAGAATTCTTTAAAAACTAAATGGAAACAATTAATATCAATTATGTCACTATTGTCGTGCGTGCCTCCAGTCGAGGTTTATTGACAAATAAGTATGAAAAAAAATTGAATTCATTGTGAACCGTAGGGGTCCTGAAGTTTTGTTTTAATGTTGTTAATAGGGTCTCGCGTGTGACATTACATTAATTAACAATTCTAGCGTGTTAGATGCTCAACCTGCAGTTAAGGTGTGCAGAACCACGTGGAAACGGATCTATTTTAAAGCTTACAATGACATACAGCATTTAATTTATAAAAAAAGAAGGCGCAGTTCTTACTGTAAATGATTTGTTCAGCAGATACTACTAATTATTACTAAAGAATAATATGTCTGTACTGTACATTTAAACTATTTTTAATTATACAGACTGTAATATTAGCATTAGCAACGTATAATATTTATTAATTCTTAAGTTTTTGGTATATATCATTAGGGTTTTACTAGAAGACAGAGGTTCTTAATTGCAGGTGCAACTGGCAGTAATCACTTTAATCACTCGAACGATCAGTGATAAGGTTTATATCCGGTTGTAAGATATCGGAGGAACTCGAACTGTTAGTTAAGGGAGCAGACATCCCTCTAAGATTTCATAACTAGTCTATTTTTTTTCAGACATAACCTTAGATTAAAGGGGAATAACCCCACTAGTAGCCTACTCCCGGATGAAAAACGGGGATAAATCTCACTAGAAGTAATTATTTCGTACCCCAAACAGCGTAATATATACATATTTACATACATAAATCGCATCGGTATCGATTAACGTAACGAATAATGATTTTTTCGTGGAGGAAAGAATGCGACGAGGCGGAGACTATATCACGTGTCAGTAAGGAAGCACTCCTATACGAGCACCGTTAAGCGATGTAGGTCGTCTAGTAAACTTGGTCACAACCGCCGCTCACACTCAACCACATGGCTGAGAAGAGGGGAGGGTGGATGTACTGTACATAGCTTTTTTCTTTTTTCTTTCGTGCATTTCTTCACTGCCATATGACACTAGGTTGAAGCAACCGTATCTGACAAAGGGACTACTAAAGTTGTGTCTTGTTTGGACTAGACTATGCCTATCACAAGTAGTAGTTTATAGCGAAGAGATATTATTTCCAGCACTCAAAATATGAAGTGTATATTACTTATTTTCTTATTTATACGGATAAAATCAGCCGCTAGTCAGGGTAAGTTTTATTAAATTTTTTTTTATTAGATCGCTGAACTACTGATTTTAAAAATATCTCAAAAACTTCTTCTTCCTTATAAAATACCTTTCGGGCGTTTTCTATATTTATTAATTTTTCAGGTTAAGTTCTATACAATGAAAGAGAACTAATTCGCTCTTATACGAGGTATTTATCTCTCTCTTTCTTCCTCATAAATCACTTCAAAATTATGGGATTTTCAGAGGTTTCTTACCGGAAATCTTAGAAATATTCTATAATTAAAAAAGAAAGAAAGAAAAAAAAATGATAACCATATTCAACCATGCATTAAAGAGTGCATTCTCGTTTACAGTAGATTTTCGTTATTGTACTGTAATTTTAAATTATGTGTTTCGATGCCTACTCGAAGCTTGTAAAATTGTACGGAAACCTGCTAACCTAGTTTGAATGTAAACAGGGATCGAAACTTCATACCCGATCTCACGTCTTTCTATCGATTTTAAGTGGGGAAAAAAACCAGTTTTGTAGAAGAATTTAAGTCGATTTAGACATTAAATTTTTAAATTGTCTCGGTTTATATCTCGAGAATCGGTAGCATTTTCTTTTCACTTCCAAAAGAGGATTCACTTTTTTAGGAGGATTCACAATTTTTAATGATCTTTGAGGATTTCTACCTCGTCTCCTATTACGTATATTTTACAATAAAGAAGAGTTTTTTACGACATTAGAGAGTATTTTCCTCACTCGTTCTAACTCATCATCACTCGTGTTTTTTTAAGAGTTCCTCTAAAGCGTTAAACGTTAAATTCATAAAAGAATTATCTCGATTATCCCCGCAGCAACGTTTTACATTGTTATTGTAAGCGAGTATCAGCATACCCGGAACGAAACCAGACCCGATCGTTCGCCAATAGCCTAGGTAATTGTATTTTTAGTTATCATACTCTACCTGTTGCTGAGTTATCTAGGTCAGCAGCCCTTACGGTAAAACCTTGTAGTTGACTAGAACCTAGTACAGCATCTCGTCCGTATCATTAACGTTACTAGTGAAGCACGGCAATACAGTTGATGGCTTACAGGAAGGCTTTCCTCTTCTTTTTTTTTTCTTCTTCTTATTCTTCTATGTGCATGCGAATTAGTTATACAATCGGTACGTTCACCGCTCGACTTTTTTTTCGGTGCATCTCTTCACTAAAAAAACAAGAAATTCAGCAGTCAAAGGCTTGAAGTGAAAGGAAAATTATAGTTCATCGAGTGTTTTTTTTTTAAGTTACAAAGCGTGCGAAAATATAATAAATTAGTTTCTCATCTATTTAATTTGATAGGTAACCAGGAAAATTCGCTATAGGAAAGAGGACGTGATGCAGAATGTCAATGCTAATTACCATTCGACCCCCCCTATAACACTGTTGATAATTCCGCTTTATACGAATTCCATGTTGTACGAGTCACTTAGATTTTACAAATACGTGAGCCGTTCACAGCCCGGCACGCGTATTTGTAAAATCTAAGTGACTCGTATAACATGGAATTCGTATAAAACGGAATTATCGACAGTGTTATAGGGGGATCGACTTGTATTCAAAACAGCGGAACTGTTGGGTAGTTTTACTCAAATATTTAAGGACTTAAATAAGTGACGAAGAAATTAATTTAAAAAAAAAAACAATAATTTATGTATATAAAATAGAAACCGGTCATTTTTGCAGGTGATTTATAAAAATATCCTTGAAACTATGCAAGGACATTCGACACTGGTTATATCGGTTTTGTATCTTTTTCTGTCGGTTCTTATCGAATGTTTCGAAGGAGAATTACTCGGTTCGAGCCTTAATTTACTTTCGGTTTACGTGTAAAAGAATTTAGACACGGATGAATCATAAAAGTGGGCGTCAAACCACAATTCGAGGGTGATAACTCAGTAAGACTCGACAGTGTACGTTTACGAACGCCCAAAAAGAAAGAATAAAGATTAGATTTTTGTTAAAGCTCGGGGCAATGGAAGACATTTTTACAATTAAATTATTATATATAGAGAATAATAATAATAAAAAAAAGGATTTAGCTTTTATAAATAGGAAGTTAAATTCGAGTTTAGTCGATAAAGGATGTCATTATCTGTGGTTTGAGGTCAAACTTTGAGGTTAAGCTCGACGTGAAAGCAATCCTACCATCACGATAAATCCGTTTGGATTTAAGAATAAGCCTTTTTTTTCCTCTTTAAACTCTAACAATTTGTTATTTTTACCCTTTTAGAATTTATTTTATCCATTATCAATCACGTGTTTATCGATCGATGATAACTTTAACAAACTATACAGTCGACCCCCCTATAACACTGTTGATAATTCCGTTTTATATGAATTCCATGTTGTACGAGTTACTTAGATTTTACAAATACGTGAGCCGTTTACAGCCCGGCACACGTATTTGTAAAATCTAAGTGACTCGTACAACATGGAATTCATATAAAACGGAATTATCAACAGTGTTATAGGGGGGTCGACTGTATAGTTTGTTAAAGTTATCATCGATCGATAAACACGTGATTGATAATGGATAAAATAAATTCTAAAAGGGTAAAAATAACAAATTGTTAGAGTTTAAAGAGGAAAAAAAAGGCTTATTCTTAAATCCAAACGGATTTATCGTGATGGTAGGATTGCTTTCACGTCGAGCTTAACCTCAAAGTTTGACCTCAAACCACAGATAATGACATCCTTTATCGACTAAACTCGAATTTAACTTCCTATTTATAAAAGCTAAATCCTTTTTTTTATTATTATTATTCTCTATATATAATAATTTAATTGTAAAAATGTCTTCCATTGCCCCGAGCTTTAACAAAAATCTAATCTTTATTCTTTCTTTTTGGGCGTTCGTAAACGTACACTGTCGAGTCTTACTGAGTTATCACCCTCGAATTGTGGTTTGACGCCCACTTTTATGATTCATCCGTGTCTAAATTCTTTTACACGTAAACCGAAAGTAAATTAAGGCTCGAACCGAGTAATTCTCCTTCGAAACATTCGATAAGAACCGACAGAAAACGATACAAAACCGATATAACCAGTGTCGAATGTCCTTGCATAGTTTCAAGGATATTTTTATAAATCACCTGCAAAAATGACCGGTTTCTATTTTATATACATAAATTATTGTTTTTTTTTTTTTTAAATTAATTTCTTCGTCACTTATTTAAGTCCTTAAATATTTGAGTAAAACTACCCAACAGTTCCGCTGTTTTGAATACCAGTCGACCCCCCTATAACACTGTCGATAATTCCGTTTTATACGAATTCCATGTTATACGAGTCACTTAGATTTTACAAATACGTGTGCCGGGCTGTGAACGGCTCACGTATTTGTAAAATCTAAGTGACTCGTACAACATGGAATTCATATAAAACGGAATAATCAACAGTGTTATAGGGGGGGTCGACTGTATAAATGTTTATAACACAGGAGGACCCACTGATCTTTTGAAGAATCGGAATATCTTTTCTGTGACGATATTTCTGGATTTGGGTCAGGATTTATTATAAGAATATAATTCTTTTTTTACTTTCACGAACATCTTATAGAATATTAATTGAAGTTGCTACGCGTTACGGGTGTCGGTGTGGTGGTGGAAACGTTCCAAAATCCTCCCCCATACACGGCCCGATTCGTATATTTTAATTTAAAATTGTGTAATCTTAACTCTTTTGTTGGGTGAAAAATCGATATTTTTCTCGTTTCGTTTGGTTAAATTTAGAATAAAAATGTCAGGATTGTGTATCGTTTTATATTTTTCATTGGGAATTTTATAAAAATAAACGTGAAATTCGGTTAAAATGAAGATTAAATATAGAAGAAGAGTAATTCTTTTTTTGTTTTTAAAAAATATTTAAAAAAAAAATTGATAAAAGGTGGAGAAGAATTTAACTGATTTCTGTATGTTAAATTACATTTATAATGTTAAAAATATCATTTAGCGAATGACTGGAAGTTAATTTTTGAATTTGTTTAAATCAATTTTTTATTGAATTTTTTAAATTTTCTCTACGCTTATGTCAAAAATTTTTAAATAATAAAGGAAACAGAGAAGCAAATTGGATTATTTCAACGTAGATTAGCTTATAAAATGTTACTTGGTTGATCAACGTGGACGACATTTTTCCCTTTATTTAAATATATTTAAAGTTTTAAATAAGATTTTAAAAAAGGGAGAGTAAATTTTATGGTATCGAACGGTAAATAATTGCAAAAATAGAATTGACTCGTACCTTTTTTTTTACGCATTAAAATGAAAAAAAAAAAAATTGGTGTTTAAAGTGAGTAAATATAATAAAAATTTGAGTTATTTTATTTATAACGTTTCGTTTGAGTTCTCGGCTCGTAAATTTCCTATAATTCGATTGTTTTCGGCACGAAAAACTAGAAGAAAATTCGATTGTTTCAATGATATTTTAACTCGTAAAACGTTACCTTGCTATTATATATATATATATAGAAATATGACGATTATTTTGCATTTCGATCGAGTTTAAAACGTAGAAAAATGGCGTAAAACTCGTTAAATAAAAAGCTCGTAAAATAAACTAGTTGTAACGTCAATTATTATGGGGAAAGTGCAACGATTTCGGTGTATAAAATATCGAGTTTGAGGCCGAAGTTTTCATGTGTAAAACGTAAACGTCGAACGTCGAGCGCCGCTTACTTGTAAGCGGCGCTGACGTTTGACGTTCACGTTTTACAGATGAAAACTTCGGCCGCAACCTGTTTGATATTTACGTGTGTAATATCTAAGTGAAGAAAAATAATAATAAAGTAGTTGTTTGTAATACTTAAAACGTGTTATTCTAACTTTTACGTAATAAGGAAATGTGAGGGAAGGGGGTTGTTTAAAATTTTATTTTGGTGAAAGATCTGTGTCGACCTCTAACGGTGTACGTACGAACTACAGAGTGACAGTGGCAATACATCATGGCATGTATGATGCATTGCTACTGTCTGATGGTCCTAAAAATGTACAT